TTTTTTTTTTTTTTTTTTTTTTTTTTAAGAACTGTAATCTGTATTTCAGTATTGACAGTTGAGCTTCATGTACTGGCTATACTTACATTTCTGGCAATATGTGTACAGAATTAGCCAGTTTTATAGAAGCTAATTATTTAGAGAATGTTATATTACATCTTTAAAATCATCCTAGAAAAACATGTAGTATTCACCATCAGCTAGGCAGCATGCTCACATGATTAGGTTTTTTGTGAAAGAGGTTTATTTTATTATCACTTTATTCCCTTTCTCCTAAGTTCTTGATCTTTTCACTATTTTTATCTGAAGTTCATTAGAGTGCAAATTGAGTAGCCATTTTCTTTTAAGGACAAATGTTAAATTAATATGATTAAAACACGGTGTGTTGTCAGAACATGGAAGTTTGAAACGACAGCCATGCACGTTTTTAGGTAAACAATATTAATAGAAGCAAAGCGTTATATCTAGCATATTAGCATAACTAAATTGCTCACCATTTAGGTATTAATTCATGTCTACATAGTCCTAAGAGACGATCATTTTTCAGAGTATCCTGTTTTCAGTTTTCCTTTTCCCTTATTTTACTATTTGTTTTCATGGTTTTAGAACTTTTTCTATTGTGCCAAGTGCAAGTAGCTGGGGATATTTTAAACAGATACTATTGCAATTAAATGATAACAGTTGTGATTTATTTTTCATTTATTTTTTGGTCTAGTACTATTGAGGGGGACTGGGGCTGCTGAAGGAACGTAGCTGTCTAGCTCCAGTAGCAGAACATTTCCTTTCATTAAAAACATTCAGAAATCTAGGCCAGGCTTAATGTTTTTTGTTTGGGAAGATTTTCCACTTTTAGATTTGCATGAAGGGTGGATAATCCAGGCGCTTTGGTAGGTTTAAAAAAACAAAAGATAATCAGGTGGAAAGTACGTACCCAAAGTCATGTTTTTTTTAATGATCACTTTCAAATTTTTTAATGATTGCTTTTGCTCTGTCAAAAGCAACACGCGTCAGCTGTAGTGAACCATTGGCTGGGCTGAAAGGCTCACTTGCTAAATGCTTATTACTGTCATTACATTACAAATGTCAGATTCCAAAAAATTATTTAACTTGGCAGTTGTAGAGCTATCTTGCTTACAGCCTTTGTCCTTCCACAGATCCTTCCTCTGGTGATAGCCCCGCACCAAACAGAAAATGAAACAGTTCTTTCTTTCAAATGCGAAGAGGTATTCAGGTTTAAGAAATATAAATTAAGGCTTTGAAAAAAAAAACAATCAACCCCATAGCTTTTACTATTTAGACAGAAGATGGGTTCTAACCAGTGATTAAAGGAGGCTATTTTAATGTCACTTTTAACTGTGTAGAATAAGGGAGCAGGGGGACAATTAAAAAGCCACGAGAATTCTGCAGTAAGATACGTTTGTGCATTCACGGGTCTTATAAACTGGGGAGGATGAAAGAGGCTTTTTTCTCATTGTCACTTGCTTTCCATGTCTGCTAGTATTATGCTAGTGTATATGGTGAAGGGGGAATTTTTTAAAATGCATGCATGCGGATTAGGGTCAAGCCCTGTGTATCAGTAATGCAGTTGGCTCGTCCATACCACTGCAGCGCGAGAGCCTACCAACAGCAGCGAGATGCCTTAATTGAGACATGCTGTCAAAGTGACAAACACATTTGCATACAGTCTATTTATTTTCGTTGGAAAGGTCTGCAGTCTGCTGTTGGTTGAACATTCTTAATCAGCTCGCTGTAAGTGAGCCGGCAGCTAGCTGTCCTATGCTAGGTGCTTCTCTTCATTACATGACAGATTAGCTAAAGGGGGATGGGCTAGGGAGCCAGCAGCAACCTTTAATTTTAACTCATTATATCTCATCCTATTGTAAGTTGGGTTCTCGTATTTCCTGGTTGGGTTTTGTGTCCATAGTAGCATTTATTAAATTGAAAAACACAAGCAAAACATCCTAAGAAGGATAGATATTAAATGTTCGACTGCTGAGTTCAGTTTTTATATACATATATTGTACTGGTCTCTAGGTTTTAACTGCATTCAGCTTTGTAGCATGGTGATTTTTTTAAAACGGGCTCATCTGGCTTCGTGGCTCCCGGTCAGGCCTTGCGGGGCAGCAGTGGGAGAGGTGTTTAGTCTGGGTGGAGCTTCCACTTATAATGCTGATTTCTGCTCCTGTAAATGCTCAGAGGTTGTGGGAGTGCCCTTGGGTGGGCATCAGACAGTACCCAGCAATCCTGCCACGTGAAGGGAGGCCTGTAACCTGGGTGAGGCCCTGGCACTACAGCAGTGCTTTAAAACAAAATATTAATGAGAAAAATATTCCACGAGGCAAGGCAAGTTGAGGTAACCGATTTGCAGCCTGTCCTCTGCTTCTGCCTTGCATGGCTTTTCCATGTGCTTCTTTGACCTTCGCCCCAGGTCACTTGGGTAAAAGGAGGAAGGAGCTGATGTGCATGAGGTCAGACAGCTATCTACTGTGCAGCTGTGGCAATGGCTATACAGTTTTTGGCCAGGGGGGTTCAAGAGAAATGATTTTAGAAACTAGCAGGTACATTTAAGAAGCTGCAGTTTTACCTGACTCCTTCAGCTAATGAAGACCATGTGATAGAAGATGCCCTGCTGCAGAAAACTTTCTCTGCCAAAGGCTTGTTTTTGCTACTGCACAAGTCTTTGTTGCTTGCTTTCTTCTGCACCCTGAATACGACTTACTTGACTGCAGCGTACAGTCCAGTGTGGGTGGTGTCCACCGTTGCCTTGCTGCTGGGTTGCTCGCTGCACTTGGCACTGGGGTTATGCTGGCCATGAGCCTCAATGCCCACGCGCACCTAGCACAGCCTGTGGAGCAGAGCTGATCGAGCTGTGTGCTAAGTGCAGCTTTTCTTTCCATTCCCAAGCCCTTGCTGTCCATGCAGAAGGCACAGGTTTGTCATTCACCTGCTTGGCTCATTTACAGGATAAACACTGCCAAGTGGCAGAAAGACCTGTGCACTTTTTGATTGGTGTCTTGTGACTTATCTTGTCATCTCAGATTGGGTACTGTGGCCTGTTCTCCACACGTGGCTCTATACACACAGCTGTGGTTGAACACAGAGTTGGAGTCAGTGTGGATGTGCAGTGATACAGGGCATGAATATTGGTGAAAGCCTCTGATGTGAGGCTGATGCAAAACAAAATTTCAGTTTTCTTCTTTGTGCTGGAGCAGTCATGCCTGTAGAAGTACCATTTCTTTCTCACTTGTTCGTAGCTCTCATCTTTTTACATTCAAGACAGAGCAGGAGGGTGGCTATCTGAATCCAAACGTTCCTGTAGTGGTTTTCAGATTCTGAATCTGCATTAGTGCTGCTTGAGTTGTGCGCTTTTGCTAGAGGTTTCAGCTTCCATCTCCAGTCTATTATTGATGGAGGAGCTGTAGTGATGAGGGCACCGCGTAGAGCATAATGTTAAACAGCCCCAGGGCTCTGCCACTTTGCAATTTTCATAATTGATTGATCTGCAAATAAATTAAAGTCTACGTTTCCATTTTGATTGATTTCAGAAACTATGTAGTATAAGGAGCCAATAATCTTTCTCCACCCCAGATCCACACACTCATTTGTAACTTATCTTCATGCTACGAACAGAAAACTCAATAACGCAAACCATGTCAAGAAAAGAATGCTGCAGCCACTTACTGTAGCACTCAGCATCTAAGGTAAAGCATTACATATATCCTTTTTTCATTTACCCAGACATAACCATTTCTAGGTCTCATGCACATATTTGAATAGGTCCTGTATTTATAGATAGATGTTACAGCCAAAACGGGGAGGGTGAATCTGACATCTCTCAGTATTGTGGCAGAAGAAGCCAAAAACGTGAGTAAGTGTAGTCTGACCTTCTCGATGTCTGACACGTACAGGGATCTTGGCACGAACAAAGGAACCGTTTTGTTCACACCGGAAGGTCCCTGTATTCAGACTCTAGAAAGGTGTGCAGGTTTTACCTAGGTTCTGATTACACGAATCTGCCCAACCAAAAGCTGTTCAGTTTAGTGGATAAAATGTCTATTTTATATTTACAAGTTGCTGAGAGAGTCACCTGCTTTGAAGAGAAATGCAACTTTTCCATTCTGTTGCTCAGTCAACACGATCTCTGATTAGCTACAATGTGTCTGAAGCAAAAGAAAAGAGGAGCGCGAATAAAGCTTCACTTGTAAAAACTTGTAAAAAAAGACATGTCCATCTATGCAGAGATGCAAGATGTGCAAAGCAAATTGCGTGAGAAAAGGTTTGGATAGATCACTGGTCAAAATGTGGAAGTGCAGCTATTTTGGCTTCTGCCCCAGCCCACGGTAACTAGTCACGTCCTCAGAAGGCAAGTCTTTCCTCCCACGTTGCAAATGAACTTTATGGAACAGCCACGTACAATG